GTTACGCATTTCGGGGGGAAGGGTTCATGGGTCCTCATATGGCTTGTTAACTGAGGGGGGTTACAGAGTATTTGTTAAATATAAAAACAAAATATATATTGTGTGTTTGATTGGTCCAGACGCTACAGTATATTAGCACATTGCTTGACATTTAATCTTTGTTTAAAGTCAATATGAATTGCAGATCCTATGCTAATTTTATCCATTGAGAACAAACTGGATCATGTATTGGTCTTATCGCTAGATTTGGCTCTTGGTTAAGATTATCCAATATTTCACACAACTTCAGTGACATCAGAAAAGAGCAAGTTATTTTATTTTGATTAAAGATTTCTATTGACAAAAACATTCTGTGATTACATTCAAGACCAAAATTGTGCATATATACAGTAAAACTAAGAAAGAATATGCTCTTTAGGCATATTTCTTTAGGCTGTGTCCTACCTTCTCAACTTTGGCATACTTCTTAATGTCGATCTCCTTGCGTCCGTTTTCCTCCAGCTCAACAGTACGGACAGCATCTAGAGCAATGTTGCAGGCCATGGTGGACCAGCGGCTGAGTGCCTTGGTGTTGATGGCAGAGTTTATTATCTTCAACATCATGTCACGATTATTCACATCTACTGACGTGCTATGAGGGGGAGGAGGAAGTAGCAAAAATATCAGATTCCAGAGCACTGAAACATTTCAGCCCACTTCAGCCAAACATCCACCTTACCAATCCACTGATAAAATTTAGCAGCTTAACGGAATGGTTTAGCCAAAATAAAAAATTCCTGAATATGTACTCACCCTAAGTCCATCAAAGATGTAGATAAGTTTGCTTCTTCATCAGATTTGGAGTAATGTAGCATTACGCCACTTGCTTACCAATGGACACTCTGCAGTGAACGGGTGCCGTCAGAATAAGTTCAAACAGCTGATAAAACCATCACAATAATCCACATGACTCCAGTCCATCAATTTAACATCTTATGCAGTGAAAAGCTGCATGTTTGTAAGACACAAATCCATAATTAAGGCATTTTAACTTTAAACCGATGCAAAATATGAGTCAATCCATACAGTAATCAACATTTCCTCCAGTGAAAAAGTTCATCCCCTGTTGTCCTCTCACATCAAATCCACTGACATATGTGATATTAATACAGATTCCACCTGTAACTGGTGCTTGATCTGCGCATATTTCTCTCCTGATTCAGACTAAATGACTTTTTCACTGGAGAAAGCAATATTATGGATAGAGGACTTGTATTTTAGCGGGAAGCAACGGTTTGAAGTTCAGAATGTCTTGATGGATTTCGCGTCATTAAATGTTTACTGATTAATTGGAATTGTACTTCATTCTGACGGCACCCATTGACTGGAGAGGATCCATTGGTGAACAAGTGATGTAATGCTCCAAATCTGTTTTGATGAACAAACACTCATCTACATCTTAAATAATCGTAAGTTTTCAGCAAATTTTCATTTTTTTGTGAACTAGTCCTTTATTAATTGAGAGCTCATACAGAACAATTAAACTGGTTGTATGTTTGATTACCTGACGTCTTTGAGTATGTTCAACATGTCATCCAGAGCTTGTCTGTATGCACTGATCACCACGGTAGGATGCATCTGCTGTTCCAAAAACTGCTCAGCCACCGACAGCATCTCACCCGCTGTACACAGAATGGCATGTTAGGATTTGCTATTGAACAAATTAAATATTAACATATAAACATTCATTTAATTGTTAGTTGTCAACTTCTTACAATTCTTTTTTTCCTAATAATTATTATTAATAATAATATAATGGATTATTTGTATGTTACTAAACTAGAAAAGTTATTATTCAAGATTACATTTAATCAAACACCTACGTCATTCAATTTCACAGACTCTGTGACCTGAAATTTTCCCTCACCCAGAATAATTACAGAGGTGGTCCCATCTCCAACCTCCTCATCCTGTGTGCGGCTGATCTCAATCATGGACTTGGCAGCAGGGTGCTGGACCTGGATCTGAATGCCACAAAAAAGACATTTTATTAACATTCAATAAATACAAAACCTACATTTTGTTTTACAAATTTATGGAGTGGTATTCACAATCACCTCTCTCAGAATGGCATTGCCATCATTGGTCATGACGATACCACCCATGGGATCCAGAAGCATCTGCGCACAAAGAACAAAACATTTAATCAAACATCTCTTTAGAGCAATATCATACGTTTCATCTTACAATAAACAATGCACCAAAATATAAGTGTGGACTAAACACCAGAAACACACCTTCATCATAGCCCTTGGTCCCAGACATGTCCTGATGATATCTGCTATGGTCTGAAAGGAGGATGAAGCAGCAGGCTAGTGATTTTGTTTTATCTAACATGTCTTTCAAAAAAGTAAAAAAAAATAAAACAGACCCACCTTTGCCGCAGTGATGTTTCCTAGCTGGACCTTTCGTCCAGACTCTCTCTTGATGTTCTGACCTGTTATGAGCAGAAACAGAACCAGTGTGGTTAAATCAGTTTGAACACTAATTATTTTCTTCGTTCAGAAAATAAAAATTCTAAAAAACAATGATTTAAAATCTAACACACATTAAATATTTGACATGCTAAAAGAAAATATCAATAGTTACGAGTCTAAGCATATGAACTGGGCGCAGCTCTGGTCAGCACACTCGCTGTGCCGTTAGCCTTATGCTAACTAATTCATTACTTTAAAACCTCCGTTAGACAGAACCGACTGCCCCATAAAGCCAGCAAATGACTGAGAACTGAGCAGCGCTGGATTTATTATTGACTGTGCAACTTGTGGTGCAATGGCTTAAACAATAGTATTATTAATACGCAATGTTAGCAATGAGGCTAACACAATGACTAATCTGAACACTGACATGAGCTTGTTAGACACGCGAGGCCCCCGTGCACACTAGTTAGCTTAGCATTCTAGCACCGATGCATGAATAAAACTCTTATTCACACCGTTACCGAGTCCAGCAGCGGCTCATATGAAAGCTACACTCGCGCATTTTCAGATGGAATAATGAAATAAGCACTCACTAAGCACGAGAACCGGTCGGCCCATCATGTTTGCGGCGTGGTTTTAGATCACCGGTACCTGACAACGCGCACAACGGCGAGAGGAGAGGATCCACGAGGCGTGACTGGGGAGTCAGCGACGCAGTGGACCAATGAGCAAGCGAGACGCATTTGACATACACATATCTCCACCAATCAAAGAAAGCTCAGCGACGCTTGTGGGCGGGTGTAGACTGGAGCAGAACGGAAAAGTTCTCGAAAGAATCCTGTCAGGATGAAGATTTCCGAGATAAAAACAAATTTTACTTACAAGTAACTAAACGCTTAATTTTAGATTTGCATCTAAAAAAAGCGAACTGTACACTGTAAAATATGTTTGAATGAAAAATAAATATTACAGTAAAAACTCTGAAATGGATAACCAGGTTAAATGACCATATAAGGTAATATTAAAATTAAAGGACTAAAACGTAGGTATAAACTAATAAATAAATCTACTTTAAAAAAATAATATTATTAATCATAATATAATACATTGTTTTTGAAGTAAGACTATTTATATATATTTGTCTGTATTTAATCTAAAATTAATTATATTTAAAATATTATTTTAAATACAACTACTTTTAAAATTTAAAAACAAACTGAAAAAAGCTCATCTTACTAGGCAACCTTTCGAACAGTACTACAAATATACAACAAACATATGCTACAATACACACACACTAAGGTGTCTGTCCATTTCTTTATTATGACTGCAAACACAAAACACAATTTTTTGATGACAAACAGTTCAAGAGGTGTCAAACTTCTAAAAGATTTCTAGCAGATGTTAATGTCTCACATCCTCACATGTATGGATGGAGGACGCGACCCAAGACCCTTACAGATGTTTGATTTGACATGACAGACATTAGGAGGTAGTAGAGGTACCCCAGTTCTTTTCATAAGACTGTTATTGCAGTCATCAACTGCTTACAGAATCTCTAACACATCCTGTAGACTTGAAACAAAGTTTTTATAGTGGCATCTGAATGGACTATGAAGAGATTATGTAACTAATGCACCAATGCAGTAACAAATTTCAACATTTTGTAAACTAAGCCAACAGTAAGGAGTGAGGTACAAACTTCTTAACTTAAAAGCATTCAGTCAGTGGAACACTTTAGGACGCTACAGTAACATGTTTGTGATAAGTGGCCTATAAACACAGTGAATAAAAGAAAACGGAGGCAACTTGGCAGCAGATTTTTGAATAACTGATGTAAAAACAGTATTTTAACAAACTGCATTCCTTATCATGTGTCCAGTAGTGTATTGACTAACATTTTACAAGTGATGCATTTTATCATGTGCTTCGATGATCCCGATTGATGTCATGAACAGCTGCGAGTAACATATTTGGCTGAAGTGGGTTTGTGCATTTCTCCACCTGTAAAATTCAGCATCTTATTGTTTGTTTACAGTTCATCCCTTGATTCGTCTAAGATGAGCGGATTTGTGGCGTCTTTCTTCAGGAAGGTGATGAAGTCACTAACCTCACGACCACCCTGTGGGACAAAAACGTTTAAGTAACATTGTAGCCATTTGTCTCTGTGTGTGTGTGTGTGTGTGTGTGTGTGTGTGTGTGTGTGAGATGATATTCACCTCATATCGCTGTGGCTGGTCTTTTTGTCCAGAAGGCACAAAGTAAATGGTTGGAAATCTGCAGTTTAGGCAAAACAGGTGATGAATCAAGAAGAAAAACAGCTGAATGTCACAGAATGTTTGTTGTAATGAACTATAAATAGATCAGAGACATAAAGAGAGACAGATTGTTACCCTTGGACATCATAATTTGGGGGCACATCATTAGCAGTGGCGTCCATTTTAGCAATTACAATGTTGGGGTCCCCAGAAAGCTAAGACAAACACAAAATAAAATCCAAATAATGAGCACTGTGGGCCTACAGTGGCATTATTTTTGGCATATACTACTGTTTGGGGTCAGTGAGATTTTTTATTATTATTTTTTTACGTTTTCATTCAGCAAGATGCATTGAATTAATGTTGTAAAAAAATTTTTTTTTTTAACTATTTCAAATAAAATCTGTTCTTTTGAACTTTCTATTCAGCAAAAAGTCCTGGAAAATACATATAAAATACAATAACATTGATAATAATAAATGTTTCTTGAGCACCAAATCAGTATATTAGAATGATTTCTGAAGGATCATGTGACACTGAAGACTGGAGTAATGAATGCTGGAAATTCAGCTTTGTCATCACAGGAATAAATGTATTAAAACATAAAAGTTATTTGAAATTGTAATAATATTTCACATTATTATTCATTTTACCATATTTTTGATCAAATAAATGCAGCCTTGGTGACTTACTTCATGAACATTAAAAAAAATCTTACTGACTCTAAAACCCCAGCCTCTGATGAAAAGTGCTTTATATTATATATACATTGTGTTAACAAACCTTTTCTCCAAGCTCCTTGTATACGGGCTCCAGGTTCTTGCAATGGCCGCACCAGGGAGCGTAAAATTCAACCAACACATCCTTCTCTGGATCATTCACAATCTCGTCAAATGTGTCAGAAACAACAACCTGTGGAACCACATACGTAACGAATACCAGAAAACTTAAAAAATAAATAAATAAAATAAAATACATCTCTGTGGGTCCACTGACCTTGACAGGGTCATCATTGGACTCTGGAACAGGCTCAGATTTCACATATCGCTTCAATCTTTTAGCAAAGTAATCCTCCAGGAACCTCTCCAAGGACTTGCCATCTCGTCTACAGAACCAAACACAGAATGAGCTTCTGAAGCCTTTTCTCAAATCTGTTGATTATTTCTTACTGGGTATAAACCGAAAAGCATTGTGTGTAGAGACTAGTGTTTTGTAAAACTCACGTGAATTCTTCCTGCATGGAATACTTGTGTCCCTCTCTCGTCCGGATTGTGACGAGGGGAATGTCTCCTCCCTCAGATGAACCCAAACCAAACTCCTCCTCAAGCTCATCCTGGAACTCCTGTCGATCTGCCACAGCAAAACTCAGACCTCGATCCTGGAACTGTGTCGCCACCTTCATTATTCTGAAAGAGACAATGAGAAATGTGTACAGATATAAAAAGAACAAATATACTGATATTCCTAAGATTGGGTGCTCACCTGTTCCTCCAGTAGTTTGTGCCTTTGAGATTTCGTAAGTAATCTACATCGTAATATGTAGTAAGCAGATCACTTCCTCTCAGAATGTCCCTATTTTCTGTGCTCAAATGTGGACAGAGACCAAATCTAAAAGCAGAGTGAAATTAAAACAACAAGACTAAGAATCATAATCACAATAAATCAATTTGCATTTTTAAATGGAGTTCCAACTGTTTGATCAATCACCCACAAAATATACAAGTATAAAATAAACTTACACATTGTCTCTGATGAATGTACGGAGAGAGGAATAAGAAATGGATTCTGTGTATTTCACCACATTTTCCTCAAACTTGCTGTTTAAACGAGGGGGACGAAACAGCAGAACACACCTGAATGAAAAAGACAAAGAGAAGAAAAAGCACAATCTTTGAGACGTTTAAAAATGTACAGTTCATCTACCCAATATTAACATTTTCAGTCATTAAAATTGACATTTCATAGCCTATATGACGTGTGCACAACCCTCACATCTGTTCATATTTGGATAGCTTACCTTAAAAGTACCTAAGCTATCACATATAACATAATATTTGAGAAATATTTCTGCCTATATAATTTTTGAGTTAGGTCCTTCTTTAGTAAGCACTACTTCTGACAGCAAATAAATACTGATCATAGTAGTCCCTTCCTTCATGCTCTGTGTCATACATACTCTCCATCTACGCCGTATTTCAGGCCTGTTCCCACATCAGTGGAATGAGCAAATCGATAGCTATCCCTCAGGGCACTGGAGACCTTCAGAAACTCTGCAAGCTGTGTACTGTCTTCCCCAGAGAAGAAACCTGTGCAAAACCATGAACAAAGACACAAGAGGACAAAACTTGAAAGGAGAGAACTTAAGCCTCTTTTAGTTTCAAGAGAGATTCAAATGAATACAGAAGTCAAATATGATTGGTTTTGAGCTTCTGCTGCAGAAGCGATTTAAGATGTTTTGGCAGGTTTTACAAATTCAACTCACCCACCACACTGGCCTCATAGTTGTCGACAAAAGAATCCAAATCCGCCTCACTGAGCAGAAACACAGAACTTGGACCTGCTTGTTTTTTCATGTAGCTCACAATGCCATCTGTTTCAGATCAAGTTATAGGTACGTAAGACACAAAAATAATTACAGCCAAAAAATAACGACAATATAAAACACACAGCCATTGAAAGGTTTGGGATCAGTAAGATTTTTTAAAAGAAATTAATACATTTAAACGGATCAAAAGTTACAGTAAAGACTGATGCATAACGGTACAGGATTCAAAGAGATTTCTGCAGAAAAACGAAAGTTTTCAACAAGAAATGTTTCTTGAGCACCAAATCGGCAAATAAAAATTCTTTCTGAAGGATTGTGTGATACTGAATACTGGAATAATGGCTGCGGAAAATTCAGCTTTGCCCTTACAGAAATAAATTTTTGTTATGATATATTTGCTTTTTGAACAGTACTGTATGTACGGACACAAAATATCAACCTGCTATTCTGGGGCCATCATAAGATCCAGCTTCCTCTCCATTGCGGAAGATTTTAAGGGTGGGATACCCATTCACTCCAAAACGCTCACATGTCTCTGAGTTCACGGTGCAGTCAACCTTATCAAACATCAGGAAAGACACATTCACTAAACATATATAAAAATATAATCTTGCAGATTGAGTCACCTGCTTAACATTAGGGAGGCTAAAGATTTGTGCTGGGTAATAGGAACTGGTGTGTCCATCACTCCTCACCTTTGCCAGAGGCAGTGTCTCTTTCAGCTTTGTGGCAGCAGCCTCATATTCCGGAGCAAGCCGCTGACAATGACCACACCTGTGATAACATCATACCTGGGATATTAATGATACATAAAGGCATTGTACTATTTAGCTGCAATGGCAGCTAGATAGTTTCAGCTTCAGATAGATCTTATGGAGAAAATCCCTAATGTTATTGTTTAAATGAGAGAGTTGTGCATTTGCATCATAATTTAGATTTATTTACATTAACAACCATTGTCATTCTCCACATAGTCCAGACATAAACAAGGAAAACCCAACTTACGCTCCTGGTCGCTGTACAAATAGTTAATTACAACCTGGCTTCAGATGGAATTATACTTTTATGCATTTATAACAAATACATCTTATCTGGGACATACCAAGGTGCGAAGAACTCCACCAGCAGAGTCTCATGCATGGCTGCGCTCCGGTCAAAGTCAGAGTCTCCGAGCTCGAGCACATCGCTGCCCTCCGCAGACCACACAGTCAGAACCAGACAGATGATAAACCGAGGTAAACGCATTTTGACTCGTGTCAGCGGAGACTACAGACGCGTGAATGTTGAAGTTGGCCCCGCTGCGCGTAGCAGATGTATGGATCGCCTGAAGGTCCACTAAAGCACCGTTCTTCTGGCAGAGCGCGTTTGATCAATTCAGTGCACTGGTACAAGGCCTTTACTTGGTATAACGTGCCTCCGGTCGTGTGGTGCACCAGCACATTGGATTTATTACGCTCTAATCATTTAATCTTTTAGATACGGCTAGTTTATGAAAATCAATAAAGTGTTTAAAGACCACAAGTCAGAGGAGGGGAAGGTATGCAGTGATTTATTTTAGCACTAGGTGTCACCATTAATACAGACACGTCTTATTTAGATAAGAAGAGGCTTTGGCCTGTCAAGAGGTTGCTTTTTCGAGATTTTGAGACTGGACAGACATTAAATCAGACAAAATATATACTATAATAATATTTAAGAAATATCACAATAGCAAGTGTACTATTGTTATGAATAAAATAAGCTCTTAAACAGACCTTTGATATTCAGCAGTGAAATATTGCTTTAATATAACAAAAGATAGCCTACTACTGAATAAGTCATTTTACACAAGTACTGGTCTCAAGTATAGTGGTGTTTTCTTGAATGAATCCGTTTCGAATGAGATGACCGAGTGAGTGATTCAGTGACATGCTCATATCGCTAGTGTTGAGGGAAAGGCATTCAAGTAACACAATCAGATGACTTCTTTCAAGTAACTAGTAAAGTAACACATTATTTTTAAATTGACAAGAAAATATCTTAGTTACGTTTTCAAATAAATAAACAACACTTTAGACTGACAGCTCTCCTGTCCTCATATTGAGAGAAATCGGGTGCAAGTGCAGAGGCGTTGTGTGTACTATGTAAAGATGATGGTTACCGTAGGCCTAGTTCTAGACTAAATGTGAATATGCATTTTCTCATCTCACTTGCACAGATTTAGCAGCCTATTCCTTAAAATTAATAAAAACTGTGAAATGCAATCTCGGAATATGAAGCAAACTTGCAATAATTAAATAACACAAATATCCTTTATGTATTTAATCCCATTTTATTAACTGATGTCTTTGCTGCTGACCTTCGATTTTCTAATTCAACCATACGCATAAGCAAAAATGATTTTAGATAAACATAACATTTGTGTTTCTTTCTTTCTTTCTTTCTTTCTTCTCCTGCATCCTATTTTTCACGCAATCCAGAATGGCAACACAGCTGAAAGGTTTGTTTGAGCTGCGTCCTCTACTGTACAGACGTGAAGTTATATTTTCTTCAGCCTGAGGCTTATTCATTTCACTTTTGGTGTGAAAGGGCTTTTTTTATTTGCCAAAAATAGAAATGTATATTAAAAACAATTAAACAAGCCCAGCCCATATGAGAAAGAGTATTGAAAAGTAACACAAAATTAATGTAACACATTAATAATGTATAATAATGTACTTTCCATAAAAAGTAACAAATTAACACAATTAGTTACTTTTCAAGGGAGCAACAAAATACTGTATTGCATTACTTTTATAAGTAACTTTCCCCAACAGTGCTTGTCGTTGTTGTATAAAATATATTTGGGATGCAATGCATCATACCTCTTTAGAAATGCAAAAAGATTTCTGTGTACTTATTTAAAGATTTTCACAGAACAAGAAGTTACACTTCAAGTTACACTTCAAGACCTACAGTATAATGTGCCAGTGAAGTTCCTGTCTTCAGATGATAAGCTAATGCCAAAACTGACTCAGCCTATCTTTTGCTGAGTGTTTTATTGAAACGGAAACCCTGTTTTCCTTCATTCTCGATTATTTCCTAAATTATAGTGTGTTATCTGTTAATACAATGCATGGAGGGGATATACGTCCTGGAGCATCACTTATCATTAAAGCCAGCAGGAAACCATTCTCACGGACCCTTCAGTGCAATGGCTTACCAATCATAGTTGTTAAAGCCTTCTTTAGGCCAGCTATTTTTGAACAGACATTCGAATAGTAATTTAGAAAGAGGGATGCTTTGATGTCCCAGATCCTGAATTTTCCATTTCACTCCCCCATTTTAACCAAATCCCTTATTTAACTTTCCAGACCATCCTAAAACAGACAATCAGTTTTAGTTAATATTTTTTATTTAATCTCCAAACCTAAATCTGAAGACAATGGTGTAAAATCCCTTGTGAATCTTTTTATTATGTGTTTACTGTGATGGCGTTATGTAATGAGGGATTAATTAACTACTGTATCTAAAAAAAACTCCTCCAAGTTAATTATTTTGATTTCTTTGTTTTGTAATGTTTGACCCCTTACATAAACAACTACAATGGATAGTCACATTTCTCCTAATACGTTGTGTGAAAATTATGGGGAAAACTATAATATTTGAATAACATTTGTCAACTGAGTTTCATGAAACATAAAAGAAATGTAATGTAAAACAGCTTGAAAGAAAAATATTATTAGGTTCATTACGTAATTATTCCCATTATTTTAACACATCACTGGGGTCTCTGGAATCCCAAGCATACAACAGTAAGTAAATCTCAATAGAACATGAGGGTTAACACTTATAAATGATTTAGTGTAACCTATAATATGTAGTATATGGAAATGTCAATAGACATACATCTGTTTAAGACTTCCATTTGTTAAGACTGTATTGTATTATGTTTTGTAATGACAGTTTTATGCCAAACTGTACTATACTTTTACACTAAACTATACTTAGAAGAACTAAACAGTGGGAGGGAGAGAATACAGTAGGCGTAAGCGCTTACTCCTCGCGCACTTGCAACTCGATTGTCTTGAGGTTCTGTCACTGTCGCGCGCTCTCCAGCGCATAGATACAGAGAGTGATTTAGCACACACCGGTTTAGCGATCACTTTGGAAGCAGGACACAGCTTCCAAAGAAGTTTACAAAAGGACGTACATCTGTAAGAGTATCTTGATTGTCCTCGGGACGGAGCACTCCAGAACATCGCTCAATAAAGTTCAATGCCACTTCTCCAGTAAGGTAAGAAAGTTTACGCTACTCACAATACAATTGAATGCCATGTTTAAGACTTTTCATACCGCAAAGGACATGATTGATTTCTTGATTGCGTTCAGTTTTTGTATAGCCTACTTTTCTTCGCATCTTTGTCCTGAATTTTTTTCTGTTGAAGTTTCCATCTTCTGTCCTGACCTACTTCTTGAAGTCTGGTTTTGATGAGATTATGTGATTGCTTTTTCTTAGGGTTCACTCTCAAATTTAATAACATTTTCAAACAAACCATATCGTTCAAACCAAAAATTGTATAGTGTTTAATGTAAATGTACACTTCAAAACAGAATAAACCTTTATTGGTAGATTTCATTAGCTCACACAATAACCATAAAAAAATATCTGAAAAATTGTGGTTTTCCTGTAAAATTAAGGTGCAATTTGGCTGCTGAAACATAGATGTGCATTGACTTTTTTTTAGAACAAATCAGACACAGATGTGTTTGTGATCTGAAGCAGGTGCTTCTTTATCCATCTTATGTTTTTTTCCCCATCAAAATTACATTTTTATAATTTGCATAACAAAACAGCATACAGTAGCCTATGTTTAAAAATCACATGTATTTTGTATGTGATGCCTGCCATAATATAAATATCTGAGTCACGGCTGTGTTATTTGAAGGAGAATGGTGGAATGGCACACACATTTTGTCTTTTTGTGAGTCATATCAAAGGCACTGCCAATGTTTTTTGTTCATTTGTTGTGGATCTAACAGATTTTTAGCATTGCATGCTATTTGAGGATTTCTTCCCTACAACATTCTAGTGTCAGGCACTTGCAGATACAAAACAAACCACAGCTCTGCAAAACCACAATTGGCCAAAAGCCCATTAGATCTGGGAGATGCTGATCTTGACCTTGTTTCTAGATGATTCCAGACCATTAAAATGAGTCCACTAGCTGTTTTGCCATCTTTTTTATTCCAGACCACAATATCCCCTAAAACAGGTCAGGTTTATGAATAGGAGCTCAGAAAAAATCACTTGTACCTGGCTGCCAATGGTTCCACATCTGGAGAGCAGAGACTAATTGATTTCCACAGGAGAAACGTTTCACCTTGACAGCAGCATACTGAGGTTCTCATAAAAAACATCTGCTGTGGATATGATTTCTTTGTTGGGTCATGAGCACTGGGTTGGCACAGACTCTTTAACTGAAATTCTTCGGATTACGTCAGGGGGTCTTGATTCAGTAGTTCACAGCTGTTTGTGTTATGAGATAATTTATGTCATGGAATTAATTGTAAATTAGCAGCTATTAAACTGGAATTATTTTCTGTAAAGCAATCTAATATGTAAACATTCAAAAAAAGAGAATTTGATATCTGATTTTAAGTTTTGTAAATCTTTAAACTGTCTTTTTATGTGTTTAAATTCTTAGCCGTAACCTTCTACATGTCAAAAATGGACTTTATATGAGTTCAGGGCGAAATAAAATAGTACAGAGAAAAGAACATACAGAGGTCAGTGGTGATGAGATGGGGGTGTTGTGTTAACAGATGAAGATGGTGGGTAATATTTCCACCATATGCTTACATAAGCCTCATGCTTTTTGCAGGCAGAGGCCTAAGGAGGGCTTTGGATCTGTGGGCTTCTGCCTAAAGCTGTTCCCATTTCTTTATTTGTCCATTGCTGGACTTTTCTGCTTTTTTGTTCATTCATTTTGCATTTTTGTTTGCACATCCCTGTTTATTTTCAGTGAGTCAGTGAGAAGATCTCTGATCTGAAAGTTGGTCGGTCTTGGAGAGAATTGAAGCACAGCCGCAGAGCTGGTAGTCATTAGGAGAGGGGAAAGTGACTCTGATGTCTGTTTGCACGGAAGAAAAGACAAACAACCCATCTAGGGTGAAATATAGAAACATAGTTGTGTTTGTAAATCTCATACAAGTGTTTAAGTGGAGAACTCTTGAAAAATGATCACGACAGCTGGCAGTAAAGCTCATTTTGTGATTGTTGCGATACAGAAAAGGGCTATGTACGTCAGGGGGTCTTGATTCAGTAGTTCACAGCTGTTTGTGTTATGAGATAATTTATGTCATGGAATTAATTGTAAATTAGCAGCTATTAAACTGGAATTATTTTCTGTAAAGCAATCTAATATGTAAACATTCAAAAAAAGAGAATTTGATATCTGATTTTAAGTTTTGTAAATCTTTAAACTGTCTTTTTATGTGTTTAAATTCTTCCTACATGTTAAAAATGGACTTTATATGAGTTCAGGGCGAAATAAAATAGTACAGAGAAAAGAACATA